ATCTGTAATTCCAACTTCTGAAATCTGTGGATGTTTTGTCTTAAGTTATTCTGAGAAGGTCTTTGCCCTCAAGAAATTCCAGCTTTTTTCTAGATTTCCTTACGTCTGTTTGGCTCAGTTCCAAAAGTAACATGCTTGTTGCTTACGAAGGAAATTTCAACTGGAAAATGCAGTATGCAGAAAGGAAAAGTCTCCTTCAATCCCACCCTCTGAGAGAGAATCATTCTTAAAATAGGTCTATAATTGTTTTGATATATTTCTGTGCATTATTGGTATTTTTGTGATTATATATATATCCTTATATGTATATATAGTATGCATATATGTGTGTGAGTATAGATCTACTGTACTAAAACCTGATTTTTTCATGTAACAGTTGAGATAACGGGTTATGTTTCTGTGTCAGTACATATACAACCACCTTATTTTTCCTTCATTGAGGTATAATTGACATATTAATTTCAGGTCTACAACATAATGGTTCAGTATTTGTATATACTGCAAAATGATCACCACAATAAGTCTAGTTAACATCCATCACCACATAGTTACAAAATTTTTTTTTGCTTTTGATGAGAACGTTTAAGATTTCTCTTAGCAACTTTCCATTATGCAGTACAGTATTATTAACTTTAGTCACCCACCATGCTGTACATTACAAAAGCTACTTTAGTTTTAAACAGCCTCAGAATATCACTAATTGAATATAGGAGGCACATCAGATACACATTTTGGCCAAATGGTCAAGTGTTAAATCACATTTAGCTGAAGCTGACGCTAAATATAACTGTCATTAAATGGGCATCTGGAATCCAAGGAAAAAATCTGAAGTTTCAACACAACTATTACAATTTTATTTTAAAAGAGTTTAGTAGCCAGCTTTACTTTTGACAATATACATTTTTATTCCTCACCTGCTGTTAGATTGTTCCTGCCGTCATTGTATCATGCTCCACGTTTGTGATACTGAATAGCAGGTAGCTTTCAGCTGAGAAGCTGCCACTGGGAGGCTCTGCAGGAGTGTCCTGCTGACAGCAGTGCCACTCCCCAGCGGACTTGTCCTCTATAGCAACCAGGTAAAGACTAGGTGATAGGCTAGGTTGCCTCTTATCTCCTCATTAGAACTCTAGACTTGGGGGTTTGTTTGATGGTCACTAGCTTCACTGAAGGAGTCCCAGAAGTCTGAAGTATTGTGCACTGCTTGAACCATTGCTCCTGAACATTTTCAGGATGTAAGACGCTGCCACCATGCATGTCCACCTGCTCACATTTGTGTTGCTTCATACTATGTTGATTGAAAAAAGCTGTCATAGGGTGAAGGGAATAAAGGGGCACAATAGTTCACAATCACAACATAAATTGGTCACAGGGACAGTAGTACAGCATGGAGAATATAGTCAGTGACTCTGTAACGTTTACAAAGTTGGTAGTAACTGCGCTAGAGGGAGTGAGGATTTAATAATATGTATAACTGTTGAACCACTGTGTTGTATATTTGACACCAACATAAGATGGTACATCAATGATACTTTAATTAATTAAATAAATAAAGACAAAAATCTGTCATTAATTTTGCCGCTAGAAACATGGCAGTAATGTAATTGATTTTCAAAATATAACAAAGTTATTTCATTATCACTTATGTCTCAGCTTTTATTGCTTGCCCCAACTTCATTGTTGCTGGAATAAGACAACATAAGACATTTTATTATTTAAGAAAAATATGAACTCTTAAAATACATACTTTTTGTTTAAACCTTCTCCTCTCCTTTTTCTTAGATTCAGTGAATAAATTACCTTTCTACTATGCAGTTATTGGATGTAGCAGGCCTGCAATTTTGGTATTCTTCTCTGTAAGGCAGACTATTATGGGATTTGTGTTGCTGTTGTTCAAGTAGCCTGTGTAATAGGCAGTAGCTGGGCCTCCCTCTTGTTTGTGGATGTTGTGTAAGTACAAACAAGGCAGTTCCTCAACCTCTTCTAAGTCATGAAATCAGTGTTTGGCCCGAACAGAGGGAAGAAAGTGCTGTCCTCCTTTTATGCTTTCTAGGTCTGCTCGTTATACTGTACTGTAATTATTTTCTGAGTGGAAACAAAAACTTGAATGCTTACGAGTCCTAAGACATTCATACTTCACATTTGTTCAATTGTCATCAACAGTTGGCTATCACTGCTTTTTACTGGTTTCCATTTTATACTTTTCAGTCAGATTCACCATGTTAGCATAAGGGCCCAGGAACTCTCAACAAGTGTATAGAGCAGGAGAACTGAATGCATTGTCAAGGAACTGTGCTGTTTTATTTGAAGATGATCTTGATGGCTTCTGTGTGGCCCAAAGTCTGACGTGTAACACGTAGGAACGGTACATTTGGAGGTACCACTGCTATGTTTGTGCATGTCATCATAATTCAGGAGGAATGTTGGTAACATGTTCCAGAAGCACCCCTGACTCTAGGGTTCATAATTTTGACAAGTCTGGGTATGCTTTCATATTTGATGAGAGGATTAGAGAGGATAGCATTCTTTAGTGGTCACTTTAACAAGATTTCAAAATTAGCCTCCATATGCTTTGTTGATTAGGATTTTTAAGTTGTATTGATTTGAGGTCTGAGTACTGTAAACAAAAGGTATATTTAGGTATTTCACTTTTCTCACTTTTTTTTCTTTGTATTTTTATGTGTATATTTTGTATGAATCAAAGATGACTTCATGGATGTCATTAATTTTACAGTTTTTCCTATTCTTGAAATTTTTACAGTGCAAAATAACCAAATTCATGTCTGTTAACTCCAATATCAAGAACCTCTGTGGGTCTTTTCCTAATTTCTCTCTCTTTTTTTCCCTCTCTCTCTCAGCTTTCTGTTATCTTGATCTCATCTCCTGATATGTCTTGTGGTTTAATGAATTTTGGACACTGTGCATAAAAAATAGTAGAGATATTTGTAGGCTATTGATATCATTTTCCTCCAAAAAGTACCTACTTTTGGTTCTTGTAGGCAGAACCAGAGATAGAGCTGATGCACAGCTTTGCCTCAGACTTTGTGAGAGCTGGGCTAGTCTTACTTTGTCCCAGCTTCTCAGATGTAGTCATCAGGGGTCCCACCGGAACCCCTGAGTGCCATGAGACCAGCCGAAGCTCTCTGCCGCTTCACAGCATCTCTGTTTGTTACTTTATGCTCAGCTTGTCAGTCTCTTTGCATTTTGGAGATTAACAAATACCTCAAAGGGAAAAGCAGTTCTAAATGTTAGACTTAGCTCCTTGAGCTTCTCTTCTCTCTAAGACCTTTGTCCCTCACGTCCTCATTGTCTGCATAGCTCTCCAATGTCTGCAAATAGATTTTGTTTTGGCCTAGTGTTCCTAGTTGTTCTCAGCAAGAGGACTGGTTTGCAACAAGCTATTTAGCCATTGTTGGAATCTTGAATCTTACCTGTTTTTGAAAGTGAATATTCAGATATTAAAAATAAATACATATAGCATGCCTTCTTTGCACTACTGTTATAGGGTGCTGATTATATATTATTATAACCTGTGCAATCGTAGGATCATTTATAATAGTAAACAGTAGAAGTTTGGGAATGCCAAAAATAATACTGAACAAGACATTCAGCTGTTTGGACAAGTCTTAAAAATTTACCAGATTGACTTTTAATTTATTCATCTATTATTTATTTCATATATATATTCCCATGTATATTTCTTATTCTTGCCCCTTTCCCTGCTTTTATATTAGGTGGTTTTATTCTGGTTGATCTGCAAAAGGTCTTTGTCTGCAAGAGATAGGAAATCTTTGCTTATATATACTACAAATGTTCACCACCAGTGAGTATAGGTTGTATGACTGCTACATTTTAGGATTTATTAAGGTTTCTTGTGGACTTTTCATAGTCCTTTTTAAAAAGCAATGTTGCACAGATGCCTGCAAAAAATGTACATATAATCACAACACATATATGCACACATCCTTATATATCCACGTACATTTACAACACCTTATTAATCATATTATTCAGGTCTTTTATATCATGATTTTTGAGAGATCAGGTTGGTTTGCCAAATGATTAAGAGTAGCAATTTCCCCCTTTCTCATGAGTATTATTCTTGGTCCTTTTTCCTTCAGTTTGATCTTATCAAATGTTAATGTTTGATCAATGTGTTTTGGAAATGGTGGGGGTGGTGTAGGTTCTAATTTTATCTTTGTCTATCTCTTTAGTTTTAAATCCTTTGCTTTCCCCCCGCCTCTTCCTACCCCCCTCCCACCCCACTCTTTTAATTTAGGAGTAAAGAATGGATTCTATGGTTAAATCACCTGAGAGGTATCACGGGAAGAGGAAGTGGGCTTGTAGCTGAGTCTTGAAGTATAAATAGGATATGAATTGGTAGAAGTGTGTGAATCTTCCAGAGAAGAGGGGAGGATTAAAAAACAAATGAGAATAGGATGGAATATGAATTCTGCTTGTAATATGAAAAGAGGCTGACTCTGGAACAGAAAGTCTAAAGAAATAGGAAGTAAATGTGGGTGAATGAGGCAGGACCACAGTTTGGAGGATCCTGAAAGCTAGGCAGAGAAATAATTCTTCATTTATAAGTTAGCCATTTTTAATGCAAATACTCAGGTAAATACACATTTTCAAATAAGCCTTGGGTCTAAGCTGTACAGGCTCACCTCTCATGCTTGCTTATGTTGATCTAACATGTTCGTTTTCCTTCATTCCAAGAGCTTAGGGCAGTGCACCATGATTCCCATTAATCTAATGCACACTCTCCTGAGTTTTATTTTGCATTGGACATTCTAATCAGGTGGTTTTTGGAGTGAGGCTTAGGTCAGGATCCTTGCTTCAGAGATATTTTACACTTGTCACAGAGTGGATCAGTCTAGAATTGCTCTCCAGTTCTGTTCTCCTTCGTTTTCCACTGGGCTCACACCTCAAATCATAAATATAGGTTTCCAGCATACATTAAGCAGATGAGATGATAATATGGAAAATATGGGTAGGTGGCCATGTCTGTAGGCCTGAACTATGTAGTTGTGTCTCAAGAAGCATGTGGGATGGTGGCTTGCTGTGAGTTGAATAAAACAGTGGATGAGGTTGCCAACAGTATTCTCAGTCCCCCACTGTGCAGAGATCGCTGTGCGAGGATGTGGAAGCCAGGACCTTCTACTGAATGATATCAATGAATTTGGGACGGTAACCTCTTCAGAAATGGCCTCTTACTCCAAAAGGGAAATTTTCCTTTGGCTTTTGCATAAAATTCTGTTTTTCTATTCCTAGGGGACTCCTTCTCACAATTCCGGTTTGCTGAGGAGAAAGAGTGGGATGGTGAAACTTCATGTCCAAAACAGGTAAGGTGAAGGATTGTCTTGAATGTGGATTAGCTCTTCTCAAGGCTGCACACTAACACCTTTTTCATTATTGTGGAGATTTTAAAGAGTGTAGTAATTTATGTTTAGTCTCAGTTACCTAAATTGTTCAGAAAACTTTCAGGGAGCTTAACTTAGACAGGTCCTTGAAGCCAGAGTGCACCTTTATACCTGGCCATCTGTGTGAATTACTCATATGGTCTAGGTTGCAAGACAGAAAGTTTATAGTCATGATTTTGAGTGGACTACTTTGCCATTTGGGCTTTCTTCTTTTTCTATATGTGTAAAAATTCTCCTTAGTGTTGAACATTAATTTCTTTCCTCCCACATTGTTTTTGGTGTTAGGTGAGAAAATCCTTAACTTTTATGGCTTTAAATAACTCTTTTATAATGAGGAGAATAAAGCCATCAAATGAGAACAAATACCAGAAGTCTTTCAGTGAATCCATAAAGCCCAAACACTTCATTTGCTTTGTGCTCAAGCCACATTTTCTTCCCAAGGAGTTCTGACTATTTTCTGAGCAGGATTTCACTGATTCTCTCCATATGAGGAGTGTCAGGTATTCTCACCCTTTTAAAATGCACGGAGAATCAGTGGTGGCTGGTGGCTTGTCATATGCCTCCCTGACTCAGGGGCTGTGGCATATTGTCTGGTACAGTGATTGCAGATCTGCCCACAGCTTCAGAGGGGTGGCGGAGTGGCAGACCTGACAGCCAGAAGCCAGGTGCCACCCTGCTGTTCTGCTGCCAGCTTGGTACATGTGCTGTGGGGGATTCGTTTTACCTCTGGGCTGGTGTTAGGTTGAGTTGTTTGGGATGGACACTGACTTATCCTACAGACTGAGGGGAGAAAAGTCACTTGTAAAATGACTGGTAATACAAAGAATGTATTAGAGTACAGAGAAAGTGGGAATTAAAAATATATGTCTTCCTTTGAGTTTGTTCAGGCATATACCTGAGGTACAGTTGAGAATTCTAGGACAAGGTGAAAACAGACCAACCGAGATCATCAAGGAAACCCAGCCAACGCCAGGCAGCCTGCAGTGCGGGTCCTTCTAGACCATGGTGGCTCTCAGACAGTATTTCAGTCATGCTGAGAGTTTCAAATGATTCTAAAGTTCTTCATTCATCACAACACTGCGCACTTGTTTACTAGGTATTTTATTAGATGTAGAATATTCAGAGATGAGTAAGACCATGCTTGTTCATCGCCCTCGGCCCCTTACCTTACACAGTGGCTGACATAGAGTAGGTGATCAGTAAATGTTCATGCAATAAATGAAAAAGAAGGCAACATAAAATAAGTTGTATAATAAATGACGTAACATCATATTGTGAGAGAGTGCTCCTCTGGGTTGGAAGTGATCGAGAGCACTGCGTGGGAAAAAGGTCGCTTCAGTGGGCCTTGGGTATGAGTACGACTCTGGAAGGCCCTTCTAGGTCCACAACAGGAGAGCGACGAGGAGATCTGGGAAACCAGGCTGTGCTAAGTCAGCAGTGTACTGGAGTGTGGCGCCCCAGAGGGGGAGTCTGTGCCGAGAGGGTGGGCTCTGTTAGTACTGGCAGTCTGGTCTTCATTTCCCCTGGGGGCAATTTAGCATGTGGGTGAGTGCACAGGCTTCAGAGAGACAACCAGTGTGAATCCTGCTCCACGACTTGGGCAAACTTCTTACCTTCTCTTGTTTTCTAATACATAAAATGGATCTAATAATATAACTTGGAGTTGTAACAGGATTAAATTAGCTGTAAGTCAGAGCCCTCTAATGCAGTTCCTGACACGCACAGAACACTCAAAACTAACTCTTATTATTACCATTATTAGTCAACAATAGTTTGTTTAGCAAGAAAAGGGATGTGGTCAGATTTGACCTTGGCGCTGTTGGGAAGGAAGGGTTGAAGAGATGCAAGGCTGGGAGCAGGGAAACCACAGAAGGCTGTCATGTTGGGCAAATGGGATGGGCTGAGGGTTGGACGGCACAAGGCAGGGCTGGAAGATGGTCACTGATGGATGGGACTTCAGCAGAGGACCAGGGGTGGTCGCTGATGAGGCTTGAAGCGCGGGGACAGAAGGATTTGCAGGGGTGCTAAGTGGTCTGATTGGATGACTAGGTGAGTGGCAAGGGTGTTAACAGGGTGAGAGAAGGCAAATTTGATTTTGAATATTTTGAGTTGAAGTATTGTTAGGATACATCCAAATATGAATTCATTTCCCCATCAAAATGGTCTTTGTGTTCCACTTAGCTCTCTACTAGGTTCCCTTTTTGCTACTTGTCAGAGAAAGAATGACAAGAATTTGTACATATATGTAATTTTGTTCTCGTCCTCCCCAGGGACACAAGACGATACAGAGGAGAAAGCAGGGCAAGGAGTGTGGTGGTGGGACCCAGCAGAGGCCCTCCTGCGTCCTGACAGGAGAGGGGCCCAGCGCTGGGGCTCTGACTTGCCTCTGTTTCCTGTGGCTCCCATTGGGGGTGCAGGGGCTGCGGCCTGGCAGCCAGGGTCCCCACTGTGTCTGTGTCAGCCTCCATCACCACAAGGGAGTTGGTCCCTTAGACCCACGAGTGGGCTTTTCAAATCTATCCTTTAGACAGTGTGGGACATGTGAGGAGGGAAGGGGTGGGAGGTGTTGGGGTGAAAAACAGATCTATTAATTTTTAGAACCACCTGAAGCTTTTTTTTCCCCCACTCCATTTTTCATTTTTGTTGACATATTGTGACTACTCAGTAGAGCTTCCTTGAGCAACTGCCAGTGTTGGGTGATATGCAGTGGTTCCTGAATGCCTGGATTCTAAAGGTATAGACTCCTGCCCTCTCCTCCCCACCCCGAGAGTCCAGTTCTGAGGAAGGCTTGAGAGTCTGTATCTTGAAAAGCTCTCCAGCTTTTTCCCAAGTACTGGCTGACTCAGGCACTTCTGTGAAGTGTACATGTGGTCCCTGAGTCCCAAATGCATATAGACAGTGTGTGCTGTAGCTCCTGAGAGAGATGTGGTGGTCTGGTTAAAGGCTATTTTTTTCTTTAGCTACCAAGTGGGCTCTTTTCTCACCAAATAGTGTACCTTTACACAGATCATGAGGCTGAGAGTCTGATAAAATTCTTGGACAAAGGGGAACCTTCAGGATTAGATTCTGATGACCCATACTGAGTTCTGTGCACACTAACAGCAGAGAAGTGGGGTGGAGGGACTTTATTCTAAGAGTCAAGGCTCGCTTCCCTCTGCCGGCCTCAGTGTATACAGGAAAGAAGACATCAGGGTGTTGCCTGCCAGGCTGCATACTCCAGTGATCATCAGTTGGCCACGTGGATATGGGGACTGAATTCTCCAGGCAATTATATTAAAATATGTAGCAAAAGGCTAATTCATGGTTATTATTCCAATTAAATCTATTTTAAAATTCAACACTTTACTAATACAGCCATTCACTTCAGCTCACTTTGTATCTAAGGCCTTCAGCTTTAGCTTTAGACCTTTAGGGGATAAATTGGTTATGAAGAAAGGAAGGTCTCTTACAAGGTGGTGTTTGATGACAGGTAGTAGCCTCCAGGACTCCTGCAAGGAGACGAGAAATCACTGTGGTGGTCTGAAGTGTCTCGATGGCACCATGGAGGCCATGCGATGTCATGTGGGCCTTGTATGACCGGTGGGAATTACGAATGTGGGGGAAGGAGACATTCCAGTAGCAGACCCAGCCGTATGTTCCTCATTCAGAGCATGGCTCCTGAGCACAGGCTGGCCATCCCCTGCATCTTTGTGCAGTCTCCCAAACTTTACATTGTTTATGGTACAACTTGTATCATGTTGTACACGATGCGAAAGAGGGCTGAGGAAGTTTGGGTGCATTTATCCAGACCCTACCTATCTCAGTGGTCCGTCTCTGGAGAACTAAGAAAGCAACAGAAGTCATTGGCAGGCCTTGCAGAGGTGAAGTTTTTGCACCTTTATAGGCTGAAAGAAGGGGGTCTGCATGTGTGTCTCTGAAGACATGTTGGCTGGGGGAAGGCTGAGATTTCCAGTTTGCAATGTGGTGATTTATCCATGCGTTAAGCATCCAGAATCACACCTTTCTAGTGGGTTGAGAGAGTTTCTCTAAACTTGGAAACAAAGACTTGGCCATGCTGCTTTTGACCACAGAATTCAGGTGCTGAGTACATGACTAGGGAAAGGCCTGGACACATACTGAGTTTCCCACTTTCTTTTTGCCCTAAGTACACTGTATGTATTTTTAAGTGTAAGTTCCTTTTTTCCAGGGCAAGGGGCCATATTTGGTGCTGCCAGTATTTTTTACCTAAGAGCTAGCCATCGCCAGAAAATTTCAGAAGGGCAATTAAAAAGCCACACGCATTTCTCTCAGTGGCCGTGTACTGCTATTGGGGGGGTTACCGGTTGGAGTGATTCTGGATTTGGTGTCCTGGCTCTCTTCGTTTGCACCAGGAATGATTCCCCATGTCCAGTCATTATTATAAATTCATCTTACTGAGACAGGCCTGCAGTGGGATGGAAATTAGACTAGACACCCCTTGGGTTTTCTTCTAAGTTGAATCCAGTGATTTTAGAATGAGATGTGGTTCTAGCTGGGCCAGTGACCGTCCTTGGTCAGTGGGAAATGTGCCTAATGTGGGATCATTGTGATGACCTTTAATTTTTTTTCCTTCTCTTTGGTGGCCAGGGCACCTAGAAGTAGCTATTATACTGTTACTAAGCCATGTGATAATCTGGAATGTTTTCTCAAATACTGTCAATTTGTGAGGTCATTTCATGGGTATGACTTGAGTTCTCTGAGGGGAAGGGAGTCAAAGGAAGCTTTCAGTACTGACCCCACAGAGTGCTGCCAGCCAGAGGGTAAGTTTCTATTGTCTGCTTTCTGGCTGGAAGAGAGGTGTGTGTGACCCGGGCTCCACTGGCAGTGTCTGTCAGCCCCATCTCACTGCCTAGACAGCAACACTCTCCCCCGTCGAAAGGCCAACCATCTGAATTGAGGGAGGTGTCCACTTACAGTTCATTAAATGCTTATTTTTCTTTCAATTTGCCAGTAATTCCAAGAGCGTGCACAGTCTCCACGTTACCGTGCAGCTCTGACGTGGGGGTGGCCCCTGTCCTGCTGCGCTCTGACAGCGTGAGCTGCGGCTTAAGGGCCTGGGTTTGGTTTTGTTCCTCTTAAAGCAGAGATGACGGAGATGATAACCAGATCAAGCATGACTCACGATCTGACTTAATCCCAGCTAAACGGAACTCCACTGCATAGTTATTTACAGTTACTTCTTCTATCATCTTCTTTTATTTCTAAAAGGCCATACATTAAAAAAATATATATATTTTTTTAACAGAATTCAGCATTTTATGTGGACTGTGAATCACTGGTTCGAGCCCTTCAAGAACTGCCTCTTTCACTCCGACTCAATGTTGCTGCTGAATTGGTCCAGGTAAAAACCCTGACAGCAATCTTCAAGCTGGTGTGGATTAGGGCAGAAAAAGAAAAACATGAAAAATGTCCCTCTGCAGGATGTCTCAGACTCAGATTTTTCCTTTTATAAAGTTGAGCATTTTGTATCAGGTAGCATTTTGTAAAGTTTTAAGGGAGAATGAAATAATTTTTAAAGTATTCAAATGTAATAGAACTGAATGAAATATAAAAATACAAAGTCTGGCTGGTATTTTACTCAAAATATTTATGTGCCAGGCTCTGTGTTAGGCACTAAGGACACAGTGGTGAGTAGACAGGCTTGATTCCTGCTCTTATGGAGCTTAATCTACTGGGAGATGCGGATGCTGATCAAATATCAAAATATGGTAAGTCCTGGTTTTGACCACAGAATTCAGGTGCTGAGTACATGACTAGGGAAAGGCCTGGACACATACTGAGTTTCCCACTTTCTTGTTGCCTTCCATCATCTTCCCTAAATACACTGTATGTATTTTTAAGTGTAAGTTCCTTTTTTCCAGGGCAAGGGGCCACATCTGGTGCTGCCAGTATTTTTTACCTAAGAGCTAGCCATTGCTGGAAAATTTCAGCGGTGTGCTCTAAGAAAATATAATAGTGAACCTGATCTACTTTGGTATGATTAGGAATGGCTTTCCCGAAGAAGTGACAGATAAGCTATGGTCCAAAGTATAAGAACACCCAGTTAGGTCTGATTAATACTAACAAAGAATATCCTGGCTGTAAAATGGAGAGTGGATGTGGGATTGGGGTGCATGTGTTTATGGGTAAATCTGCACATGCAGAAGGGAATAGATGTGAGAGGAGAGAAGGGCAGGTGAGTAAGACTGTAGCTTGGACTAGGCAATGATGGCTGAGATGGCTGAGAAGTGGACTTTATTGGGAGGCACTTCAAAAGTAAGATTGACAGGACTTGGGGAAATACTGGAAATGGAGAGAGAGCAGATAAGGAATTATTCCAGGTTTTCCAGCTTGTGCAACTCAGGGCAAGGTTTGGACATCATGGCTTTGTGCCTCTGAGACATCAAAGTGGAGATATTAGTCAAATGGATATAGAGATTTGTAGTTCAAAATTTGGAAGGTGGCAATTGATGAATTGACTGGGAAAGAGGGCCCACAGACTGTACACTATAAGGAACTTCAAATTTAATGATGGTCCAATTGAAAAAAGTGAAACCCTGGACAGTGCTGACTGTGAATAGAATCCCAGCAACTCAGATGATCAGCTGCATCTGCCTCTCAGCATGCTGCTGAGGGGAGCACAGCCACGACTTGGTTACCTACCCATGCTTTGGCTGCACTTACTGGTCACATGTAGGGCAGCAAGTGGAACTCTGGGCTGGGGGACAGAGAGGGGATGGGGAGTTGGGGGTCGCCTTTGCGTCTGATGGGGAATCACCCCGAGGCTTCTTCAGGAATGTCTGGGGGTGTGTGGGGCTCTCTTGGTGACTGAGAGAGTACTGCTTTTCCTTCTGGGTGTCCAGAGATGTTCCAGGTTCTGACAGGCTTGGTTTGGTTCCACACAGTGAGGAATGGCTACCCTAATATATGAGGGGAACACGGAGATGAGGTGACAGGGCCCCAGGACACCAGGAGTGCTGTGAGCATTTGAAGTGAAGGAAGGTGTGTCCGGGGCAGGCCTTACAATAAAGGTATAAAATAATGGCAGTAACTCTGGAAACCTGAGTTAAGTCATTTAAAATCTCTTCTCTTCCCATGATGTAAAGCAGATATTCCCAACTCTGCCCATTAGAATCACCTGGGGAGCTAAGCAATTCCAGACCCAGTGATCCCAGAATTAGACTAGAGGATGGCATCCTAGCTTCGCCTGCACACTGGAGCTGCTCGGAATGCTTCAATCATCTGCAAATGAAGGGGCAAAAGCCTCTATTAGGACTTGAACCTCATTCTGAACCTACCCACTCAGGTCCCAGGCCTTCTTCCAAAACAGTGGTTCTCGGCCTTAGCACTATGTGACAGTCATCTGGGGAACTTAACTTTTATTAAATTATAACATACATTAAAGTACAAGTATTTATAACCCTGGAATCAGCATCCAGATTGAGAATTAGAATGTAGTCAGCACCCCAGAGGCTACCTCTCCCTGTCTCCAAGTCACTACTTCCCTAAAGCCACCATCTGGACTTAACAAATGTAATCAATATTATGTTTTCTTTCATGTCTGGCATTTTTTATTCAGTGTTGCTAAGACTGCTTTGCTTGGTGAATTTCTGCCCTCAGAGAAGAGCTCTGTCTTGCTAATTCTCAGTTCCTTTTATAGCTGCTTGTCTCATCAAGGATTCAAACAGACATTCAGAGAGTATATGGTACGGTCAGTTCTCTGGCCAGTCACAGGAAGACAGGGCCCTTTGGATTTCAGCTCTGCTTAGTTAGCACAGAGCTGTGCTAGGGAGACTGGGAGCTGCAGCCTTGTTATGTTTCAGTGAGATCCCCCACATTTACCATCCCCCTCAGTAAGGAAGAGTGCAGGGGTGGGGCCTGAACCGGGGACACTGTGAACTTCCTGTCTTCCTATTCCACACAGTTCGATGGCTTCCTTCGCTTTTGTTTCTGCCTAAGCAAATAGGGCAGGACTCACAGTTTTAACTCCATTATTTTGTTTCTCTTTTAGACTACTCTGCCTTTAGAGCTTCCTCAGGTGAAACCAACGAGAAATGATGAAGGCAAGGGACGAGGGATGCAGTTAAAAGGGCCCCGAGGAAAGGGGTCCGTTTCTGAGCTGAAGTCTGCCAGCAGCCCTGTGTACCTCCATCAGGACAGCCCAAGACCGGGTCCTTCACAGGGGTCTCAGAAACCCGCTTCCCCACTGCAGCCGGCAGCAGACCACCTGGAAGAAGAACTAGATCTGCTGCTTAGTTTAGATGCACCTATAAAAGAGGGAGGTAACGTCTCGCCAGACCAGACATCTCAGAGCCTGGAATCTGAGAAAGATGGCAGTGTGGCTCAAGAAGAAACAGGTATGGCTTTCGTCATGTTCCTAATTCATTTTCTTGATTTGGGTGTTTTTGGGCGAGCAGTCCCATCATATCGATACATGTCTCCATCAGTGTCTGACATCGATCTGGCATTGTCCACTGACATCTATTTCTGTGCTCAATCTCCATTTATACCTGAGCTGACCTTTCTGATAGTGTTCCTCTCAGTCGATCTGTCAAGCTTCCAACACTGCTACCTGCTCGATTGCAATATTAAACCTGGAGCTGCAAATTGAACTCGTGCTGTAAAAGGCATTAAGATGCCCTCAGCCCTGAGCTGTGCAGCAGCAGACCTTTTAATTGACTATCTGAACAGGCCAATAACTGACTCTCATTCTTCTTGCTTGCTATTTTTATCTCCTTTTTAACAAAAAGAATGCTTCCTCAGCTGTGCATGTTCTGTGAGACAGGGACACACCTGACAGGAGAGGTCTAGGGCAACTGCCCCATCCACATACCACATTTGAGAACTGTTAATGACTTTGCAGGATTGCTACAATAATGAAAAGTGAGCTGTGAAATGCAACTTCAGAATAAGTAGGAGAGCAAATCTCTACCCCATTTATTAATTAGTTTAGATATTATTGTATCTTTTTAGGGAGTGAGAGCAATAATAGAATGTTTTCCCTTGCTATAAGGAAAGTAATAATTAAGGCTGAATTATATAATGGAACAACCTGCTGGGGAGCTTTAACCCTCAATTTGGGGACTAACTTGAAGTTGTTAATATTACTTTTATTTTCTCAGTTCCTGCAAACCCATCTGTGACAGAAGAAAAAATTGTAGAAGCTGAGCAACTAAGTACATCTAAAAACATTACTGAGGAAGAGCTTGAAGACTGGCTGGACAGCATGATTTCCTAACAAAAAAGAGACGCAATGAGAGAGAAAATGAAAAAAGTACCTGAAGCAAATTTTGGTTGCCTTGTAAGTAAGGGTGGGCCCATGGCTGTCCTTCAGGAGCAAGGCGGTTTACGAGCGCACCCCAAGCCAGGGCGCCCTGGCGGCCTCTGCAATCAGTGCCTGCCTCTATATTTAGCAGCTTCTGAAACAATACCTGTAAGAGGCTCCTTGCATTTATTCTTGGGTTTGGTAATCTGATTCCTTAAGGGCAGGTGATGTTGTCTCCTTGTTTCCAGCCTCCTTCCTCTGTGTTTACAGCATAGCAGGTATTGCTGAGAATAGACACAAGGCATGCATTTGGCCAAAATAAACAAACGCTGGTCTATGGATTTTTTTCTTTCTTGTTTGAAGGTTTTAGGCCATTTGTCTCATGTCCCTTTTCCCAGCAGTCAGTGTGGTTGCAGAATCATCCAGGAGTAGTGCATTACAAGAGGCCAAAGCACAGATTGGTGTGTATGACTTTATTGCAGTGGGCACTTCATTATATTTAAGGAGAGTCACCCAAACAGAGCAGCTCTACTACTTACAGGGACCATAAAGCATTACTCAATTTGGCATAAGATCGAATTTTTCTGAATTTTCAGTACAGTACTTTTCTTCTAATAACAGCAGTTGACAAGCTGTTACTGAAAAAAATTATATGAATAACCTTTAAGTGCAGTTTTGTAAAGTAAGACAGAGATCAATACAACTAATTAATGGGACTGTCTGGAACATAAAAAATTTGCATAGCTATATCTAAAGAGGTTTTAAGGCACTTAATCGATATTTCAGTGTCGACAAAGTGTATGTGTGTATTTTTTTTTCCTCTTATTTTTTTAACTGCTTAAAGCTTTTCAAGCTGATTCTGGATACATTCACTATCAAGTACCATGGAAAAAATCAGACTGCAGTTAAAATGGGTTCTTACAGTGCAGACCATGAGTCACTGGTGGGAACTGTCATGTGGCGTTTAAGTGTTTAAAATTTCAGGTATTATGTATTCAAGATTAAATACTTCTAGTCTTTTCCTCCATATCATCCATTACCTTAGAACTGAATACCTGAAGGCATTCAACTACAGATGCCTTGACTCTGCCTGTTTTTTAACATTTTGACAGGTTCTCTCCCACAGGGTACATTCATTAGGCACAGAAAACCAAATCAATTCCAAAGTATCACACACACTTTCTTGTAAGGGAGGCAGGTAGAAAATGTCACATTTCAAATATGTTGCAGAACTGTAAAAGAAGGGTTTTATCGCACTAGAAGCTACCATCCAGAATAGTGGAGTTTTTTTTCATTCAGATTTATCCAAGCTGATCTTCATATTGTTTGCGAAAGCAGTCACCAGCCGGGAAGAAATCCCAACACCTTTCTTGGTACATCTTCCAGACGTAAGATTCCTGCAATAATGGGAACAAAGCATACTTCTTTTTAAACCATAGTAAGCTAAGTTTTTGCTCGCTCTCTCTCCCGTTAGGAATATGGATGGGGATTTATACGAGGCCCAACCAGTACCTTCTTTCTAAACTCCAGTGCAGGCTGTTTTAGGAGCAAGAAGTCATTTTTCCTCCTTCTGAACTGTCCACCACCTGCCCCCTTCCTCCAAAAATGCAACAAACTCGGTTGGTTGTCTCTAAAAATACTTAAAGGTTTAGCAGTTGGCTGGTTCCGTGGCATCTGTAACTGGTAGATGGCAGAGGCATGCGTGAGGAGGAAGGTGACTGCTAGCTCCGGCAGATGCCTGGCACGCTAAAGCCAGATCTGGATCCAGCTGCTTTCCTCCTTGACGTTTGAATGTTTGCTAAACTACCTTCCTTCCCTTGTTCCTTCTTTGTATTTCTTGCTCTCACTCACTCTCACGCCCACACCTCGCATTCCTGTCACTCCCCCCACCCCCACACGGGTCAGCACCTTTCTCCGGCTGCCTGGTTCTGCTCCGCTGCTCCTGCTCTTTGTTATAGCCACCCACTCAGCTCCTTGTTGTCTTTTTTTTCTATAACGTTCTCCCCACCTCCACCTATTCTACTCTGCAGCAGTAACTGTAAGGGTTTAGAAGATGTCAGTGTTTGTTGGGAAGGATAACCAGGAGGTCTTTGGGCATAGTTTGGAGTTGCCTTAGAATTTTGCTTCCTTTTTTTTGGTTGCATAACCTTTTTAATTGAAGGATTGTTACCATATAATATTTGTTTCAGACATAAGAATTTTGGCTTATGTCCTAAAAGGGTGGTGGGAAAATGCATGTAGGAGACTAATGGGGTCATTTATCTATTTCAGGCGTCCTAGGTGCTACTGAGACTTGAGACTTAGGAAACTAATACAGATGATTCATAACTAAAGACATTTTCTTACCTGACCTGTGTGCTCTGTTTCATCTTTATTAATTAAATACATCAGGAAGAACCTGGAACAGGAAAGAAGGTGTAACAAATGAGAAAAAGACAAGTTAGGAAACCTAAGTTCATTTACTCAAGTAAACTGGAGAGAGGGTTATGCTGTGTGTCATACCTTTTAGAGTTGAGGAGATGTGGCATAATGACACTAACCATCATTTTCTAATAATAATCTCAAAATTAGCCTTTTTGTGAAAAGAGATCCTTTTTAACATCTCTAAACCTTGAGCTAAGAGTATATGTGCAGAAGCAGTTTGGCTACCATTTAAAAAAAATCCTAAATAATAAAATGGCAACTACAACTCTTACCATACAATTTTTAGTAGGCCAATTTATCATCTTGTAAGAATGCAGAATTGAAATGATATGTATGTCTCAGGGATATGTCAGAAAGGTGGAAAGTATTTAATCTTATTATGTTGTATTGATTCTTCCAGAAATATAGTTTTGTTCTTATTGTAGTCAACTGAGAAATGCTGGTGTAGACATACCTAACCAATAAGTCTAAGGTTTAAGTCTGTTTGTCTGGCATGTACAGGTGTCCCAGGGCTCTGGGACTGATCTCTGAGCTCGAGTTACATGAGCCCCTCAGAGACAGCTTCCAAAAGAACCAGGCTCATGCCCTTCAGGAAAAGGAGTGTGAGGCGGATGGTAAGGAATAGAAAGTAGAAATAACATCCTTCTGAGGGTGGGGAGAGCCTGACTCCCAGATCTTGAATCTTCTGACAATATTGTTGGGTTTATAGCTTCAGATTGTGGCCCATAGTAGAGGCTAAATTTATATTTTTTTCTTCCTCTCTTTTTCTTTCTTAATCTGATAAAGAAGGCATCACCAGTATTTTTAGTTTGAGACTCAGGCATGTGGCACATTATTCCTTTCCTAGTACATTTATTTGACAAAGCACCATTTTTAGGGGGGGCATTTATATTGAAGATGGAGAAGGGGTCCCAGCCAACACCCTTCCACTCTTCTCTGTTCCTTTGCTGACACATGGCTACAAGCTCACTTTACATCCATCCTGATGCAAACTCCTTTTAAGTCATGACCTGAGGAAGGATATGTTAAAGTTACTGCTCAGAAACATGTGCTTTTGTCTTAATATCTTTTTGATAGAATATGAATTTGCCAAAGAGAAATAGCAAAGATATAACACCTTTCCCCAGGCTAGGACTGTTCCGTTCTAAAGAAAGATCAGGATTTCCTAAAGTGCAGATAGAGAGGGAAGGGCTAGGCTCAGTAGGTTTTTTTTTTTCTTGAAAAAGAACACTTATTTTATCTGAATTGTCAGGTAATCTGAATTCTTTCTAAATTCTGTAAGTTCATAGGCAGTCCAGGGCACCTAAGAGGATCTGAGTCACGTGTTCTGGAGTGAATGCTTTACCTTAGACAAAATGAAATTTTTATTATTTGCCAGGCCTTAGGTGCTGGGTTAGAGCAGTGTGGACTCCCCACCCCCACCCCAATCCAAATACCACACTCTCATGGAACTTTTGTACTCCAAGGAGAGGACAGACATGGTGAGGCCTGAAAATTGACCATGGAATCCAGCAACATGCAGGTCATTGGCCGCCTTGACAAGAGCAAATCTGGCATGGTCGGGAGGAAGGCCTGCCTGGGATGTGCTCACAGGAGGGAGGGAATAGAAAAGTGGGGCCACAGACTTTCTTCTTCATTTAGGATTTAAAAAATAACATTTGTGTAGTGGTAGAAAATATCCAGTAGAGAAAGAGAAATTGCTGGAGTTATGTGACCTTGAGAAGGGATGGGAGCTAATCCCAGGTCTAGGGGCTGACCTTTGCGAGGATTAGGAATTGTACACAACATATCTGTCAAACCATAGGGACAAAGATAAGGCTCCTGGGCACTCCTGTCTTCCTGATGATCCTCTCTAGTTCTCAGAAGTTATAGAGGCAACTTATGACATAACTGTTTATTTTACTCTGCCACTCCTTCCCCCCACCCCATGACTAAGAATACTCACAAATAGTTGGCTAAGTTGTGCTCTTGTAAGGTATGTGTTTCAAAACCATGAGGGGTCGTGTCAAAGTAGTCATTGCCAATCCCACAGATGAAACATTTAGTCTAAGAAAAATAACAGATGCAGCAAAGGCATTAGTATTAGTAGGTGTGACATTATCGGCAGGGGAATAAGGAAGATAATCTGAGTTCACAGAGATGATGAAAAATATTTCTCTTTAATGTCTTTGGCTATTAGTCTTCTATTCCACAGAGTCACGTACTGAGGTCCTAGCTAGCTGAGGATACTTGCTTCTGCCCAGGCTCAGGACATGATGTAGGCGGCAGGGAGGGGAAAGGAGGGTGTAGAGCACAGAGGGTGAAGCAGAAGAAATGGCCAGAGCTGGTAGATAGGTTCAGAGAAGAGGACAGGTGTGGAAAACAAACTCTGCTGGTAATTCTGCCTCAGGATGGCCTTAAGTAATAGGACCTATTTTTTAAAAATCCATTTGCTGTGAGATACAGAAACAGCTGTAATTAGAACATTTACCTCCATATCTTCTCGTACTTGTTCCTGCTGGTCTCTTAATTCTCCAAAAGCATCAATAATAAGACCTGGAATTTCAAATACAAAGGCAGATAAAATGTAAGTTATCTTGTTAGTGGTTCAAGGGAGAGGAGTGGTCGAGGCTGGTTTGTTTTGGAAAAAAATAAATTATCAAGCTAACCTAGTCAAAGCAAAATCAGAAAAATACTTGTGTTTTCAATGCTGCATCTGGCCAACCATTTCCCAGTGCTCCCCTTACTCTGCCCTCTGCAGTATTCTATGCCAGCACCCTCGAGGTTCTTTCCTCTCCTCGAGTCCCTGCCTGTTCTACTGTTTGGCTTGGCCATCCTGTTCTCCGTCTTCCCAGAGGCTCGTCCCCTCCTCCTCGCCCATCAGGGGTTGATACACGTCAGATTTCTTCTTCCAATTCTTTTGCTTTCTTTCTGGGAA